GCCAATGGAGCATCGAACGACCCTCAACACCAAATCGTGAACCCTGTAGGGGTATTTAAAGGTATAGGGTATGTCCCTAAGCCCTAAACCTATATAGGGGACGGGAAAAGAAAATGCTATATCATTGCTGAATCCCATAACCCAATATCATTGCTGAATCCCATAACCCAGGGTTGAGGCTTAAGGTTGTGGGCTTTGAGGTTTCCCAAAATTAGATTATATAGGGGTAGGGTTTAGCGCCCACGGTCTTCCCAAAATAGGAATCCTGTATAGCAAGGCTTGTGACAGGCTGGGATCAATATCAATGGGGCAATCAATGGCAATCATTCTATCCTGCAAATCGGATTAAGCATGAACCCTATGGCACTATGGCTCCCAAACCAACGAATCGCATGTGAGTTTCTCCAACGTCGGGTACCCAAAAGCCTCAAACACCTAAACCCCAAACCCCGAAGCCCTGAACCAGCATTCCTCCTCAACTTGTAGTGCAATCCCGTTCGAACCCTAAACCCTAAACCCTAAACCCAAGGCCTAAACTGGTTCATGGCCGGAGTCTTTCAACCTTTCCGGTTTAGGTTTTCGGGTTAAGAGTTGAGGCTGAAGGTGTCCATCCTTACAGGGCTGTAGTGCAACACGCTGCGGTACAAGTTCGATACCATATCCTATCCAACAACAACCACATACCCCTAGACCGCAGAAGACTGCAGAACCACGAACCCCTAAACCCTAAGGCCCTAAACCCCAAAAGTAGGTAGAATAATAGCCCCATACACCTAAAACTGGCCCAAAAGGCCATTATTCTACATACTTTTGGGGATCAGGTAAACCCTTGGTTGAAAATCTCCCAAGGAGCTGGTACTGGAGCGGAATCAAGCACACCGAAAAGCCCGACGTGACGGCTTCTCCCAGGCTTGTGCGCACCTCATCCCATCGGGGTTTATAGTCCCGCTGAGGTAGATAGAATATGGCTTTGGGCATATTAAAATAGATCCCCATATACCCCATATTCTATCTACTTAAGGGGGACTACAGGGATTTAGTGTTTAGAGGCTTTAGAGTTCACTGGGTTGCTATTCCATTTTTGGCGGTTCTAATAAGGGAACACTGGCAATTACTATATATCCATGTTATGGTAACTTCATGTAAATTCCTTAGCTGCAGGGGACTATGGGTGACGATTTGAGCTTTTCAAGGAAAATAGGCCGAATGAGTTCGTGGGCTTGCATATAAGGAGGGCCAATGGGAGCCTATGATAAGCATCAGGCAGCGTAGAGTTCAGGGTTTTGGTTTCAGAGCTCCGGGTCCGTGCAGTAAATCTTTGCCAGTCCTTGCCAGCACATACCACATAATGGGAGTATTTAATACTAGGGGGAGGTTAATATTAGTGGGAGAGGATGATAAAGATTACCCGAAGGAAAAAATCTGATAGTCCTACCCTAGACCCTAAACCCTGAACCCTAAAGCCTAAACCCTCAAGGCAAAAGCCGAGTTCTGATAGTCCTAACGGCTGCCACAGATAGCCGACGCTCACTGTTGAATACCGCTAAACCCCTGACCCCAGAGTTTAGGGTTTGAGGTTTGGGGTTTAAGGTTTATAGGGTTTGAGGTTTAGAGTTTAAGGTTTGGGGTTTATAGGACTTAAAAGTTTAGGGTTTAGGGTTTGAGTCAGGTTTTAGCGCCCTGTACACTAAACCTTACATGTCCTGCCCAGTCGCATATTCGGTGAATGCCTCCTTGTTGCCAAACCACTGCGTAATGGCACTCATGACAAAGTCCCTGTCCTTGCTTCCAAATCTGGACCCCCTTACTTATGGCTTGGGGATTTGGAATTCCCCAAAACCAAAACAAGATCCGCATATACTCCATATTCTATCTACTTAATGGGGACTATAAACCCCTATGCCCTACCCCTTTTGTAGGATATATACATCTAAGTCGTGTATGTTCTATCTACAAAATTAAGAACCCTAAAGAAGGGGGACGGTATGAGTTTATCTCCCAAAGCTCAAGACCGTGGAACCCTTCTAAACCATGGGGATCCAAACTTTAGGTTTTAGGGTTCAGGGATCCAAAGCCCAACGTAGCTATTTTTTTACGGACTATTGGGGCCCAACGTAAGTATTATTTGTACCCTTGGATCCGTAAAGAATCCCCAAAGCCCGCGCCAATCAGCAGGAGGCTGGCCATACCAACTGTAAGCTCATAACGACTGAAGCTCACAGTATAAACAACCTACGACTGTCTTCCTCTTATAAGGGCCTCGTTTCGGGGGGAGGGGATACAAAACCAAACCCTTAAACCTCCAACACTGTGGTGCAACACTGCACCATCTTCAACCCGCAATTCTGCACAGTCTTCTCTTGGGTAAGCAAGTGTCGCACTGGAGGCGGCATTCGGCCACATCCACATCAAAGTTCCTGTTCGGGCATATGAGCGATAGTCCAAACTCCTCGTGCCCCCCCCCCTTAATAACCCGAACATAGTCCCCTATAGAACTCCCTAAACCCTAAATCTAAAATCTATAGAACTCCATATATAACCCCTATACTAAGGCATTTAGATTCTAAAGCATGCAGGGAAAACAGCACTGGTCGATTACACGTAGTTTAAGCCTTGGCCTTATCTGGCCCCTTAGTATCTTAGGGTTTAAGGGTTTAGGGCATAGTTAAGGACTTAGAGCCTAAAGTTTTGGGGTTTAGGGCCTAAAGTATGGGGTTTAGGGCCTATAGTTAAGGGCTCAGGGTTTATAGACCCCAAAGCTTAGGGTTCTAGGGCCTGAAGTTTAAGGGCTCCGGTTTGGACCACTCCCTAAACCCAAATTACTATAATCGGTTATATTGGGGTTATATAGGGTCTATGTAATGGGTTATATAAGGATAATGGAAAATAACATGGAAACTACTATAACACACTGGGGCTCTTTAAAGGGATAATGGAGCCTTGATAGACTTCGGCGGACTTCGACCATAGTGAAGAAAGCAAGTATTGGGAAGAGCAACCTCATGGAACCTCTAGGCTTCAGGGTATAGGGTTTGAAGTCCCCCGTAAGTACATAGAATCTGGCTTTGGGTATACTATAATAAGATCCCCATATACCCCATAGTCTACCTACTAAAGGGGGACTATAGGGGTTAGGGTGGCTATGTATATCCTGAGCCCCACGTGTTCCCGTGGTCCTTAAGTCAGCCAAGAGCAGGCGTTTCATCACAAGGCTTCTTCGCAAATAGCGAACCTCTCTTCTGCAGATTGCTGGGAGGTCGGGTTCAGGCTAGCTTCCTAGCCCTGAACCCTAAACCCTAAAACCCTAAGTTGGGGCTTGTTTTGGATGAATGCAAGAAATGCTGCAGTTTCAGGTCTGCTTTTGGGGCCGTCCTTCTCTTGGAAAAAAGTATTTAACGAAACCGGATTGAAGGTTGAGGGCCTAGGGTCCCATCAAGTAGATTGAAGATGGGATATGAGGATCTTATTATAATATACCCAACGCCATATTCTATCTACTTAAGGGGGACTATAGGGTAAGGTCTTCTCCTTGTTCCCTAGACCCAAAGCCCGCGCAAGAAGTTTGCACAAAACATCTGCTTGTGAAGCCAGGGACAAGGAAGAAAGTCGAGAGCAATTGCAAAGCGATGGACAAGCCTACAAAGGCCTCTCCTGGGCTTCATGGGCGGTTTAGGGTTTAAGGCTTTAGGGTTCAGGAGTAGGGTTTAGGGTTTAAGGTTGTTAGGGTTCAGGAGTAGGGTTACCCTAAACCCTAAACCCTTAGGGTTTAAGGTTTTTAGGGTTCAGGAATAGGGTTTGCACCTCTAGGTCTAGGTCTAAAGTGAGATCGACAGCTTCTGGTTGTGATATTTCAAGGTCCCAAGATGGAAAATGAAATGGAAACCGGGATTATTCCAAGTCTCGATCGATGAAGAACAAAGAGTTCAAATAATTCGCGAAGAAATATGCTGCCACCTCGCTCTCGACGAAAACTGGGGCAATAGTGACCCTGCCATCGGGATTGGCTGTGCGGTAGGCTGCCAGCTCCTTGGTTGGCATACCGGTGTAGGGTTTCGGGATTTTCTAGGGTTCAGGCTCTGAGGCATACCCTGTCCCAATGTCCTTTGAAAGAAACATGCTCCTTTAGGCGGCGATAATATGCAGAAACGCGTGCGCCTTACAATCTAACTAGTTGGGCTATCTGCTCTTGCTTCGCTCAGGGTTTCAAACTTAAATGAGTTCATTCCTGTTGTACTCATCCCAGACTCTAAACCCCTGTCCGATGTGCTAACCGAACATAGCAGCTTCCCGAGAAGGCACAAGCAGAAGGATCCACATGATACTGCCCCCTGACTCCATGTCAGTAACATGCACAAAAGACTTGTATAAAGGGCTTGATATGGGGTTCCCAAAGTTAGGTTACCCTTTTAGGGTCCTGATAATAGGGATTCAGTGTATTGGGGACTATTGGGGTCCCCCTGTTTATGGAAACTACCATGTTACTACCTACAGGATGCTTACTGCGGGGACAGTAACCAGTTGGTGGAAGGCTGCAAAGGACACAGAAGGTTCCCCAGAAGAGGTATTCCACAGAAGTTACTTTGGGTACCATTAATCAACTACCCAGTTGCTGAACTCCCTAGGAGAACAATTTCAGTCGACCCTAAACCCTAAACCCTAAGGCTAGGATTCAAAGACTCCAAAACTGTAACCACCCAGGTTCTTTCGAGACTCCGGACTCTACTACGTGGCACTTAGGACCCCTACTAAGGGTTATAACCCTTAATTACCTATAATAAGAACATAAGGGAATCCCAAAGGGTTAAGGGTCTAAGGTCCCAGCTAAGTCCCAAAGAGACCCTAAACCCTAAACCCTAAGCCCTAAACCCTAAACCCCTATACCCTAAACCCCTAAACCCTAAATCCCAAGGAGTCTAATGATAGCTGTGGGGTTGCCTTTCTGCGTAGTATCTTTGACATGCGGGCAAACACGAAACCCTTCCAACAGGAAGCCCTGATGCAAATATGCACCACAATCTGGAGAAATATGGGCGCGACCATAAGATGCGAAGCTCCTTGGAGGCCTGCAGCGTGGACTTTCCGTGGTTGACGGCCGGGGTATAAGGCGTAGAGGTTGTTTACCTCTACTGCGCTTGGGTTTGCATGACCTCGTTTTCTTTCACTGGGTTTTACCCATCCAAAATTTGAAAACTGTACTAAACTTTTACTCCGTAGTGGGGATGGCATGCAATTGTCGGACTCCTGTGTCTCCCAAAGTACACCCTAGGGTTTAGGGTTTAAGGCCTAAACTCTAAACCTGAAGCCGCTTGGCTGCCATCCGACAGGCCTGCAGAAACCCACCAAGTCCATACACGCCGTCCATCATGAGTCCAGGATCGCTTTGGTTGATGCCTCAGGTTTTCGGCTCAGGGTTAGGGGCTTAGGGCCTAAGGCTCAGGGTTTGTTTCGCTTTTCCCTGGTTTCTCGTTACGCAATCACTAATCGCTGACGTTGTGATCGCGCAGTGGCCAAGAACCCAAGAATGTCAAAGTACTAGTGTAGAAGTAAAGGGTCACCAAGTGAATAGGTAGATTTCAAGACCATATACCCTGAACCCCAAACCCTACAGGTGGGTTACTGCGAGTAAATAGAAAGAATAGCAGGCCTGCAGCAGCCTCACATGGTTTGAAGGAATCTTTCCTACACCCGGAACCCTAAACTTTGGGTACTGCACCCACCCAGGAACAGTCTACATTAGGGGTCCTACTAAGGGCTATATATAGCCATATTATGATTATTATCCAACTGTTACTGAGTGGGGGCAGTACCCAACCTAAACTCTTTTGTGCAACAGGCTTGCAAAGTCACGCCTGGAGCAGCCGAGCCGTTCGTGTTCCCTCACTAAATCCTAAACTTGGGTACTGCCCCCCTGAGTAACAGTTGGATATGGTTATATACAGCCCTTAATAGGACCCCTAATAGAAACTGTTACTGGGGGGGCAGGGGCAGTACCCAACCCTAAACCCAGGTTAGGGCTTAGGGCTTATAAGCCCTAAACCCGGGGTTAGGAAAAAAAATCATTAGAATCCTTCAGCAGCTCCGGTACAACTCTGGCATAAACATTTATGAATATAGGTTCCCTAAACCTTAAGCCCCAAACCCTTAGGTAACCCCAGGATGCCAGAAAGTGGGAGTGACTATCTAGACAAGGGGGGGGGTTGTGCAGAAAGTACCCCTGAACCCTGAACCCTAAATACGTAGGGACTATACCTCACAACCAGCCTATGGCTTCTTTGGCTCCTGACTATGAAGGACTCCAAGGCCCCATAGACGAAATAAACTACTTCAACAACTCAGGGTTTAAGGTTTAGGGATTACGATTTAGGGTTTCGCGCAGATACTGACCGCATCGAGAAAGCAAGTCGGAGAAGTCCAGATCCTGAAGGAATTGTTGATACCCAAGCCAAGCAGGATAAGATTGCAATAGCTAATGTAAACACATGATTAATAACCCCGCTCCCCTTTATAGGGATTGTAAAAGGGATCTTCCTATTAATGCCCTTAATAGGAAGGGGTTTATTAATGACGGGTCTACATTACGCTGGTTCTGTTCAGGGCCGTGAAGAAATCTGGGCCCTTGGCAAGGCAGCTTTCACATGAGCTATAATCTAAACTTCTAGTATCCCCCCTAATAGCCCCTTTAACATCCCCCTATATACTACCCTATATAATCCCCCTCTAAGGAGTCTAGACAATAGCTCACATGCGAATGCAATCTTGCAGGCAGGATGAGTCTTTGGACCCGATGTTTCCACCACGAAGGCCCAAATGCAAGTGAACTTAAAGGGTTTACATGGGGATATATTTGGATAATGGAAAAAATGGAAACTACTATTTAGGGTTTAGGGTCCCGAAACATGGCAAGGCTGCTTGCAATTATACATGGAGCTGTGGGGAGGAGACATGTACCCAAAACATTGTTTGGGGAGCCCAACTCATCCGTCAGAAATCTGTAAATGCACCTATCTAACCTGTACCCCAAAAGCTTGAACCCAATTCCCTAACCGGAAAGCTCGCACTTTTGATGGGCTTGCGCCATTTTCTACCGGCAGCCTCCTCTACAACTTGTACTTCCAGGATTGGCTATGCGACCCCATAATTCCCTACGAGGATCCAAAGAAAGGGGACCTAAACAAGTTTAGACCCAGGGGCGGATGAAATCTAGTAGCCCATCCTGGATAGCACAAGATTTTGTGTCCTACATACCCTACATGAGACGGTCACTGCAGCTCGCAACTTTCACAGGCGCTTGTATTATTATAGCGCGCATCGCTTGCGTACACAGACAGCATGAACGGACCTTGGCGGCGCCCGCAAGTGCGGACCTCTTACGGGAAACGAAAACGGAACCCCTCAACGTGAGCCAAACTTCAGCTTTGGAAGTCAAGACAGTTTGGGAATGGATTTTGCAAAATCTTTTATTCGTAGGCCAATTACATGGAAAGTTACTTGCATGAGCATTGCATAAGCAATACATATGCATATGTAGCTATATGAATGTCACTCCACCCTTCCGACAGGTCCAATGAATGTTGGCCCCCTTGGTAAAAAAGGTCAGGTAGGCCTGCCAAAAGAGAGCAGCGAGTATCACTTTAGACGAGCCCTAAACCCAACAACGCATACCCAATGGTTTTTCTAAGTCTTACAACCTGAACCTGCAAGTGCCTACCCCCGGTACCCGTCCTTTCTGGCAGGTACATGGCCAGAAGGAGGCCGATAACGCATGACGGCAAGGAGAAAACCGTCATCCAAGCCCCTTTGAGTCGTGGTGTTTCGGGTTTAGGGGTTTTGGGGGGGTTGAAAGCTGGGCAGGCTTGAGAGTTATCCATCAAGTGTCATTTCAATTCAAGGCTTCGGGGGCCGCTTCGGGATTGAAAGAGGGTTTGGCGGGTAGAACTGACGCCCGGATGCCGTGTGGTCACGCAAAAATAGTATCCCGTATAGGTAGTAGCCCCCTATAGAATCCCCTAACTAACCCCCCTTTAGGGAGTTTGGACTATGGCTCACATGAACCTGAGACCCTATTTTTTATTCTAGAAAGAACTACAGCCGAGGCATTGTTTATGAAGTCGCAGTTTAGGGTTCAGGGTCCAGGGCGTCTACCTGCACAGGGCTGAGTATCTATGCACCGATGGCGCCACCCCACTTCCCTGCGCCCAGCGGCCCACGCATGATCTTGTTAATGAATCCATCGTAACTGGGATTTCTTCGATTTCTCCCACCCGCTGTGAGACATGACACGCTCCCACCCAATCTATTTCCTGTCAGGGTTTAGGGCTACGCCCTCAATTGCCGCCTCGAGCCTCGAGATACGCCACTTCTTTGACAAGAACAACGCTTATGTAGCGGCTTCTGAGCCAGCTCTGGAAATCAATCAAATTTGCAAGCCGGAATCCGAGAAACAAAAATAAAAATAGTTCAAACTCACAAAAAAAGACAATCAGGAAGGAAGAAAAATGAACAATAAAAGAAACAACAATGTAACACTGAGGCCACAAAGGAAATGGCAAAAGGAAATAAAACACAAACAAAGGAAAAACAAGGACACGAAAACGGTGAAAACGTGATGCGAACACGAAGAAAAGGAACAACAAATGAACATTGGATAAATTCTAAAGCGTTGTAGAAAATCATCAATTTTCCGATTTTCACGACTTTTCGCACATGTTCCTTTCTTTTTCTTTTTTTGGATCACTTTTCCCCACTTGTTTGTTTCCGTGTTGTTCACTGTTTCGTTTCTTGTGGTTCCTTGGCGTTTTTTCTTTTTGTGTGTGTGTTTTTCTCAGTTTTTCCTTCGCTTTCTTCCGACACGCAAAAAAAGAGGAACACCATAGGACACTTGGAGAAACATCCAAAACATTGCAGAAAATCATCAATTTTCACCACGTTTCTCGACTTTTCTCCAAGTTTCCTGTGTTGTTCATTGTTTTTCCTTTTTCCTTTTTGGATCTCTATGTTTCCATTGTTCGTTTCCTTATTTTTATAATTTTCCGTTTTCGTTTGTCCGTTACTGTTGCGTGTGTTTCTGCTTTCTGTTTTTTGCTTTTTGCATTTTCAGCTGCTTCCATTAAGATCGCTTGCATTTGTTTTGCGTGTTGATTGCATTACTTTTGCATTCTTTCCCTAAATCTGTTTTTTTGGTCAGCCTCCCAATGGTAGCCCTAAGGCGCTACATAGAACAACGCAGCTGCGCAAAAACAAATACGGAGTTCCGGCGGCGTGCCCAGCCGCTGCCCCACATGGCGCTTCGATGGGGGCTAGGACCTCCAGGGTCCTCCAGCGGGTTGCCAGACCCCTTTCAGCCTGAATTGGCCCAGGAATTCACCGCAGCTACAGGATTGCCATCAAGGGGAAATCACTGTACATTGCAGAGATTTGGCCTTCTGGGGTGGCTGAAGGCAGAGCTGTACCTCCCGATGTACTCATTGTCTTATGAAGTACGTGTGCAAAGGCTGACGTGTTTCTTCAGTTCCCGCGGCCTAAGCAGGACGGGTGAGGATAATGGGTTCAGGGTTTAGGGTTTCGGGTTTGGGGTTCAGGTTCTTAGGATCAACTAATCCAATCACATCCCCCTAATCACAAGCCCTCCACCCCCGAAGAATGGATTTCCCCCTCTTATCGCTTCGTAAAGTCTGTTGGACAAATTTATTATTGGGGACACCCTAAACCCTATTTTTTGTAGAGACAGGAGATCGCAGAGCCCTATTGCCTTTGCTGTCTTGGTCCAACTCTCATACAATGCCCTGCCGACCCAAGACTCACTCAACAAACAGCAATATCCACCAATCCCATGCGTTTTGGGAAATTAAGAACATCCGAATCACTCATAGCTGTCCATCCCCAATTGCAACCTCCAAACCCAAGACCCCTGATAGTAATCATAGTAATAACAGTATTAAAAAGGTACTAATAGTAAGCATAGCAATAACAATACTAGTAGTAGCAATAGTAACAATAATAAGAATAGTCTAAACGCCAAACCTCTCAACCCGTGTTTTGGCCACGCCTGCCTAGAGGAAGCAGCTCTTCGCTGAATTCCGCGGCTGGACGATAAGAACCCGACATTGGGAGGAGTCGCATAGTGTAGAGGACCACCAGCCTTCTCTGTTTAGGGTTTGGGGTTTTCAGATTCACCAGCCTTCCGTGAAAAAAAGGCGGATGAACAACTGAAGTCTACACAGTTTCTATAAGGGTAAATGTAGTAGTAGGGGTAGTAGTAGTAGTAGTAGTAGTAATAGTAGTAGTAGTAGTAGGAGGAGGAGGAGGAGTAGGAGTGGTAGTAGGAGGAGTAGGAGTAGGAGCAGGAGGAGGAGTAGGAGGAGGAGTAGGAGGAGGATAAAAAACAATGCAAACTTAGCATTAATAACAATAAGCAAATAACCTAACAATCTCAGCATAACGGTACAAAAGCCAAATAGCTGTAGAACTAGCCCTACACCCGAAACTCAAAACCCTGAATATCTTCCTCTGGCTAAGCAGCAAGATCATGGTCAACAGCCATGTGGCCAAACACCACATCCATGTTGACTGCCTGAGTGTAGGGTTTAGGCTTTGAAGGCTTTACATTTTTGAGTTTCGGGTTGCTGGGAGACTTCAAGCAAAAAACAGCTTCAAGTAGAAGTGAAATTAAGAAAGCTCAAAACGTCTTTGGATACACAAAATTTCTAAGGATATGTCCAAGTGAGTAGTTCCTGGGCGGGTACGTTGATATAACGCTGGCAGGGAGAATTGGGTTATAGGAGGCCTGTGCAGGCCTCCATTAATGGTAGCCACACCATAATGCCGCACCTGGAGGTGACTATGATACTTGGTAGTTTCTCTGAATATGGACCCCAATATAAGCACCGAATATACTTGTACTCCTCGGTATGGGGACCTTAAACCTAAACCCCAAAAATTGCATCCACATTTTTTTTCGGAAATCCCACTTGGGCGAGGGGGGCTTGCCACAGCCCATTACTAGGCAATGGAGGCATGGGCTTCAGGAGTATGATTTGCTAGTAAATGTAACCCCCAACGCCAGACCTATACCCTAAACCCTACACCCTAGACCCTAAACCCTCCATCCTAAACCCTGGGCCCTAAATAGGCTTTGGTATAGGAATGCACCCCTGTATGCCCGAGACGAACCACTAGAAGCAAAGCACCAAGGGGGCAAGTCCGCAGCAACATCTAGGACCTGTAGTCAACCAAGAGGAAAGGGACATCCCTTTCTTGGAATAACTTAGCCCTAAACCCTAAGCCCTAAACCGGGGAAGGGGGCCTAGTGGGGAACCAGGTTACTTATCCTGGCTCACCCTCTAAATCCACCTCTCGAAGAGTGTGTCGGGGCCTAAGTAAGAGCTGGATTGGTGATTTGGCTTAAATTATACGGTAGTCACATAAGGATTGGAAGATACTGTCGGCAATTGTTGAGGCTTCTACGTCAAAAGACATCCAGAGCTTCATATAAGAATATATACCTCAATATACTGTAGCGCTTTTTAGACTGGCAGCAAAGGACACCTAGTTGTTGGACAAAGATCCCAGTAGAGCCCAAAATACTCCAACAACGAAGAATTTCTTCATTTAGGCGAATCACCATCCAGCATCCAAAAAAGATTGATTTACTCAGCTGTACCCTACATTCTCAAAGCTTGCCAGTTGAAAGCGCAGCGGCAGCGAAAGCGCTAAACCTGGCTCTTCAAGCTTGCAAGGAAGAATTCAAGACATGCCTAAACCTAGGGTTTAGGGGTAAGGGTTATTAGGATGGGTTCAGGATTTAGGGCCCAGGGTTTAGGGTTCAGGTTTTAGGTCTATATGACGGTTTTAGGGTTCGAGGCGTCCGGGGTTGAGGTTACGGTGTGCGGACTGAGGGTTTGGAGTTCATGGCGCTGCCTTATCTTTACCCAAAGGCCCTCGAATGCAAATAAACCCTAAACCATAAAACCCCAACTCCAAAATCTCGTTTAAGCCTTATTTAGTTAACATTGTTTAAGCCAAAAGTTGCCTACCTACAAGTTGAAGCTCGCATAAACAGTCACTTGTTACTTGCCAAGCCCAGAGAGCCATCCATGTCCTTACATTAAAATCTTTGTCCTTACCTTCAAGCTCCTATATTACCCCCTGTCGCGGTTTAGGGTTTTGGGAACACTCCCCTTCTTTAACCTGAATGATTAACCCTAAACCCCAAACCATATCATCCTCCCATAACCTTAATTCAAAGAAGGAATTTGAGGGGGGTCTGGGGGGAGGAGGGGGGGGTAGACCTCCTTTTTCACAGCCAAGGAATGCCACAAGCCCTGAACCCCAAAACCAAACCCTGAAGCCAAACAACCGAACTTCTGCCTGCTTAGTGAGGAACGTGGCGACCCAGGTGATAGGCTTACAAGGTTAAGGGTTTAAAGTTTAAGGCTTAGGGTGTAGGGATGAAGGTTTAGGGTCGAAGGTTTATGGTTTGAAGATTGTGCCATACACTATCCCAAATGTCCTCTTACATCCTCTTGTTGTCTGAACAAAACAATACCCTAAAGCCCTAACAAAGCCTATAGTCCCCCTTAAGTAGATAGAATACTGAGTATATGGGGATCGGATTATAATGTACCCAAAGCCATATTCTATCTACTTGAGGGGGACTATAACCCCAAATCAAGCCCCAACCCAGAACCAACCCTAATCCGTGCCCCTGATTAACAAAACCTCTTAGATCTTTAAAAGAATGCGGGCCAGATCAGGAGATCTAAAGGCCACTTTAAAGGCGGAAGCAGGCTGTGGGCCAAAAACCTCCTAGATTTATAGAAACTTATCCCCAAGCCCTAAGAAAACAAGCGTCCATGTAAATTTTAGGCTCTAGAAGTTAAACTTGCACCTCAAACCTGTTCTGTAGTTCTAGAAAGCAGTAATAATAGTAGCAGCAGCAGCGGCGGCGGCAGCGGCGGTGGTGCCCTAGAAAGCCCAATAGCGGTTCAGGTCTAGGGTTCACGGTCTAGGGTCTAAGGTTCAGGGTTTACATCTCCCCTAAGACGCAAGCCCTAAACTCAAGCATACCCCAGCCGCAACTACTTTAGTCCTTGCATGTCCGAGGCCCTGGAAATTCCAATCTTCCCTGCGCCCCAGAAACTGGAAACTCTGAACTCTCAACCTTAAACCCTCATCCTTCCAGCTGATGTAGAAATCTAAGCCGTCCCCTTGCAATCCTTCTGTGCTAGGATGATCTGCGCCCTGAACCCCTGATCTCTCAACCCTACATCCTAGGTTCTACTAACCCCCCCCCCCTATACTACCTTACGCAACCTTAAATAGGCCCAATTAACGGGGAACCTTGGGGGCGAGTATCGTATGGGGGGCGGGGTGCAAGGGAATCCATCACTACATCCTGAACCACTGAGCCTCAGACCTTTAGCCCTAGGATTAGGGTCTAGGGTTTAGGGTTTAGGGTTTAGGGGATTTAGGGTGAGTCTTGGGGTTTGAGGTATCCCTACATGCACAAATTTGACCCGACAATCCCATGCTACGGGACCACCGGTCTACACCCTAAATGCCTTTGCATCCCGCCTGCGACCCACACACTCAATCCGTAAATCCCTATCCCCAAACATCCTGGTCCAGAGGATAATAACAACAACCAGTATAATCATAGTAGGAATCAGAGTCATAGTAGTACTACGAAAAAATCATCATAGCAACAGCATCCTGACGTAGCTGAATCAACTTGCTGAATCATAAACCCTACATAGCTGGCCTTTGGTTAGCTGGGAATGAAGGAATGGAAAAGAACATGGAAACTACAATGCTGGGTTATATAGGGACTATCCATTCCTTCATGCCTAGCTAACCAAAGGCCAGACAACCGTTAGAGAAATCCTTTTTATAAACTCCTAAACCCTAAACCTTAAAAACCCTAGACCCTAACCCCTAAACCCATACAACCCCCGTTTATCAAGGCCCTCAAAGTCCAAGATAATCCCCTATATAACCCCTTGAAGGAGTTTAGAACCCTAAACCCTAAACCCTAGATTATATTCTATATAACACCCTTTTCAGGAGTTTAAACTATGGCTCAACCCTAAACCCTAAGGGTCCAAGGACCCAAATAATAGGGTTTTAGGGCCCCAAGACCATTAACATTATAGTATTTGGGCCCTCAAACCCCATTATTTGGGTCCTTGGACCCTTAGGGTAAACACTAATAAACCCACCCTAAACCCTAAACCCTAAACCCCAAACCCTACAGGTCTAGGTCCTCAAAGTCCAAGGAGCACTTCAGGAGCCCCGAGGTCTTCCAGGTGTGAGAAAGAAAAATGTCCTTACCAAGGCTTTTTACTGGGTTGCTGTTAAGGAACTTAAATTAAGTTACTATATTGGGGGGGGGGTTTAGGGTTAGGGTTACTTTTTTTGGGGAAACCCTATTAAGTACTATATATACCCATTATGGTAACTTAATTTAAGTCCCTTAGCAGCAACCCAGTTTAAAGTATTTTTAGGGGCTTGTAGGGTTTTAGGTTCAGGGTTGAGGGATTTCAGGGTTTAGGGGTTTTAGGGCATAGGGAGTTAAGGATTTGGGGGCTTAGGATTTAGGGTGTAAGGGGTTAGGAAATTAGGGTTTAGGGGTTGAAGGTTTAGGCCTTAGGACTTTAGAGGTTTAAAGCTTGGGGATTACGGTGATTTTGGGGTTTTGCTCGAAATAGGGGTACCCCAGAGACGTTAGGGGTACATGGGATTTACCTAGAAGGTTATAGGGGTCCTCCTTCGTGAACTTACGGTTTTGGAGTGAAAGCTCTTGAGGTTCAGAAAATCCTAAACCCCAAGAGAGCTTGGGGGTCTGAGGTTTAGGGCGTAGACCATGAACCCTAAATCCGTAAACCCTAAAACCTTGATAAGTGTAGATGAATTCCTGGGGGGGTCCGAGGCTTTCAATTCAGGCTCCGTCTGGGTGTTGTTTGAAGGGCTTAGAGGCGTATGGGAAGCTAAGCACAATTTTTTCATGAGAGCCTTTTTACGGTGGGTTAGTAAGGGAATACGTTATGTAGGGAATATATTCCACTATTCCCGACTAAGCACCAGTAAGTTGTGGAGTTAGTGGGACGCCCCTGGTATCATGCTAGGGGCTATTAGACCTCTTAATCTACCTTTCTTGGAGTCCTGATCAATCTTTATGAGGTCTAGTCCCATCTTGCTAGTTCATACTGGGCAGAAAGAACAAGCCGGAGCTCTAAACCCAATACCTCTTTCCCGCAGTAATTCACTTCCGACCTGCCCTTTCGAGAAACAGTCCTCGCATCCCCATACAAGGAATATGTATAATGTACCACTACAAGAGGGTTGGGAGAGCGGCTAGTCTTAAGGGGGCGGAGAATATGGTAATTTCCCAAAATAAGGGGACCCCAATATAGACCCCAAAATACTATAGTCCTTATTATGGGGACCCCAAGAATGGTACCCCTAATTTAGGGAAACCCCCATATACATTGCCCTAATCCTTGGCACTCCACAAGTCGTTCCCCCCGTGGTTTAGGGCTCACGGCTTAAGGTGTTCGGCTAGGAATATATACGCGCAAACCCTGAACCCTGCGCCCTAGACCCAGAACCCTAAACTTTAAAGCTTTTCTGTTGGAGAAGTAAGCATCAAAGCCAGTCACAGGCCTTGAGGTTTTCCACAGGCCTTGTCTTTTACCTGGGGCAGCTTTGAGATTCTTGCACCCACACAACATGGTAGAATGGTAGTTTAGGGTTTAGGGCTTACGTTTTATTAGGATTTGAGGGTTTAGGGTTTAGGTTTTTAGGATATAGGCTTTAGGGTTTAGGATTTTGGGTTTAGGATTTTGGGTTTAGGATTTTAGGGCCCCGCAAGATGTAGAATAGTAGCTTTTAGGGCTCTTTTTTAATACAAGGAACCAGTTGAGGTGAGGTCTTAAGTCCTAGTATCCCCCTTATAGTAACCCCTATAATACTCCCTTATACAATCCCCTATATAACCATCTTTAATTAAAAGGAGTTAATAGCTCAGTTGCGGTGAGGTCTTTGCAATTTGCCCAGTTCTACCAGTATGCAAAAAGTGTCTGTGCAAGGATTGCCTCGGAAGGTTAACTATTTTCTATGATTCTATGCACTATAGTTGCCAGAAAAAATCATCAACACAATTTTGTTGAGATACCCCATACCACAATTCTACAAGGAATGTGGCCACAATATATGTAATTATTCAGGCTTCTAAAGCAAGCTCCCAGCGCCCTTTCCTTAGAATTCCATTTCAAACAACAGGCCGTTTCTGGAACAGGCACCGTATCAAAATCCTCGAGGTCAACAGCTGAAAAGGTGAAATCTTTCAAGATTTTAGACATTCTCTAAGGCTGAAACTATGGACCTCCAGTACTGATGGGCCCTTAACCCTGGCATCCTTATATACCTACTATGTACCTTATATGTACCTGTAAAGGTCCCTAGAATCCTCCTACAAAGGCCAAAGGGTCCATATTAGCGGCCCATACTTTTAACCATAGACATTCTGCGATTTCCAAATTCTCGCAGAGGTCTATAAGACCTGAGAAGCCCTCCCCCTACCCTCATGTGGGCCCTAGTTTAAAAGAGCTTTAGAAGCTCCCATGACCCTATCTGTCAAGTCTGAATGATTTCTGATGACTTGACTGGCTAAGCGGGTTCAGGCACCATTCATCCACCCTTAATAAGTAGAGCAGTGGAGAATGAATCAAGTGGAGATGAAGCATGTCAAACAATATAAAAACTGGGTTTTCTCGTGGTCAATAGGGATTGTCATGTAAGGGTCTCAATCATTTGAAGAGGCTTTGGAGTTAACTAGGGGAATCATGTGAATTGGCTTTGGAGTACACTATACTAAACTGATAAAAGGGTTGTAAAGGTACATAGAAAACATACAAACTCCAAATACCGATGATTCTGTATGCATGCAGTGTTTTCCGGTGATCAGACGCGGTCTGTCTTAACCCTGAGTCAGAGCTATTTCAACCCTGAACCCTACACACCCTAAACCCTAAAACCCTGAACCCCTAAGTCTCTTTACTTTGGCCCGGCCCAGGCCGGGTCTACTAGACCTCATAAGCCCTTGCATCTAATACCTATAATCCCTACACGGGGTAATGTACAGGGTGTCCTGCTACTTTCTGCAAGGGCCGTGCCTTCCCAGAAACATAATGAATCGGGGTTATATGGGGCTATATAGGCAGAATGGAAAATAAACTGGAAACTACTATGCTCGTATAGTATTATATAAGCATAAGTCTTTGGCGCTTAGTTACTTAGTTTTAATGTCCCCCAAGGTACGTAAACATACAACCTGAAAAGGCGTCCCCTGCAGACTGGTGCCGCTCTCAAAGGGAGGCTATATGGGGTTCCGGGTTCATTCCGGCAAGGGTGGTTGAAAAGAGCATCCCTGTGCAAAAGTCGGAACAAAAAACATATTTCACAGACCCCCTGAGCAATCCAACAATCCGATCCCCTTTCTAAACCCATAAGACGCCGTATCTACTCCCTATACAGCGTATATGCCATGACCCGTGTTATTCTAGGTGGATCTAATTTGGGGATTCTTTAGCCCAACACGCTAACCCCCTTTGGGGGGTTTAGGGTTTAGGGTGGGTCTGTGTTGCTTCCCGGCCACCAGGGTCGAGATCAATAGGAGACTGCCACCATAGCTGTCTGACATGACGCAAGCACTTCCGCAACGAAATGCCTCGGTTCCCCGGGCCAGGAGTTTAGACTAGGCTCAGATAACTAATGTTGGTTTGTAGGCGAGTTCGGTTTAGGGGTAGGATGAATAAGTAATTCATCTGACCTTATAAACACGTCATTCTGCGCTATCAAGGGTCCAAGCCGAACATGCAGTAGGAAATCTGCCTTTTCACGATGGGCTATTCGACCCTAGTGTAGGTTTAGGGTTCACGGGGCCTGGTAGACCCTCTACTTACATGAGCCCCAAAAGTACCTGAATCGAACAGAACATGTCAACTACTATTCAAGCTGTACTATCACCCCTAAAAATCCACAAAAAAACATGAAACTCTGAGCCTGCCATTCATTACAAAGCCGAGGTAAATAAAGGTGGATCAAGGGCATTCTGAATTTTAGGGTCCGAAAACCATTTATGCAAATCCTAACCCTATACGTCCCTGAATCCTAAACTCCAAAACCCCTAAACCCAACACCCTAAGACCCTAAACCATACACCCCTAAACCCCAAAACCCTAACCCCTAAACCCTAAACCCTGAACCCCTAAACCCCAAAACCCCCAAACCCTAAACCCCAAAACCCCAAAACCCTAAGCACTAAACCCTAANNAACCCCTAAACCCTAAAACCCAAGGCACCCCGCATGATCTCAGTCTTCATCTCCAATGAGGGTAGCCTGCTAAACATGTTGAAGCGGTTTAGGGTTTAGGGGTTTAGGGTTTAAAGCTTAGGGTTTAGGGCTCAGGGTGTAGGCTTTAAGGCTTACTGTTTAGGGCTTAGGGTGTAGGGTTTAAGATTAAGGGTTTAGGGCTCAGGGTTTAGGGAATAGATTATATTGGGATTAGGGATTACATAGGGATTACATTCACTGATTCCCTACAAAACCCCAGGTAAGAAGTTGAGGCCTACAGATCTCAGGGATAAATCGGGATTCGATACCTAGGTGTTTGAGATTTAGGGTTTTAGGGGCATTACCCCAATCACGGAGAATCGAATGGAAAAGAAAATGGAAAATGAAACGGAAAGCCGGGAGATATTGTAGTCTAGAGGCATTTAGGGTTTCAAAAGATTGGCGTCCGACTTATGGGTCCTCTTACGCATTGGGGTCTATATGAGTCCCCTTTCGTGCTGGAAATCCCCGAAGCATACCTGAAGGCTCAGGTGACTTGGTAAGTAGCAATTTCCCTAAACGGTTTTTTGGCCTGCTTATAAGCCCCGTTATCACCCACCTAGTAGGTCACCTGAGCCTTTCAATGGAGATATATGGTCCTGCGATTTAATGGGTTCCTACAATGGTAATGTGGGAAAGCTCCGAAGCTTTCTCAACTTGATCTAGCATTCCATACTCTGGATCTGTTTATCTTACATGTCATCCGCATCTTACGCTGACTTTGCCATGACCTTAGGTTCACATGATGGGCGGGCTTCTGAAAAGTAGCCCTATATACTGAATCCTGAAACTCTAAACCCTAAACCCCAAGCCCTCATAGTAGCCTCATAATCCCGACTCATTCCCAAGGTCCCTCAAGTGCCTTGTTTTCAGAACCCCCGCTGTACTCAGACCCGCAAAAGGGATCTAAACCTTAGACCCCGCAGAACACA